TATATATATATATATATATATATATATATATATATATATATATATATACACACACACACACACACACACAGGTTTGTAATTATATCTTTGTAGGGACCTTCCATTCATTTCTATGGGGAAAACTCTATTTCCAACATGACGATCTTAACCCCTGCTCAGACCTAACCTTAACCATATGTAACTAAACAAAATACGATGAAGCATTTTTAGTTTTTTGACATTTGGTCCCCACAGTGTAATATGAACATAATCCACGTATTAGCATGTAATTTTTGGCCATTATTGTACAGTGAACTCTTGAATATGTAGCTATTGCTACATACCGATAGCAGTATTATTGAAGGGAACCACTTTTTATACATATTTAATTCTCATAATGGCACACTATTGGCTGCTTATACAAATTCAGCGATTCGATAAAAGAATACGATTATGCATGTTTAATCTCTGTCCTATTATCATAGCTACTGGGTGATAAAACGGAAAATGCAGTGCTGAAATGCATAACATATAGGAGCACGCATATTTCCTGACGTATCAGGCCTGCGAGGACGAGCTTATGGTTCTTTTCTGTTATGGATCAACAGTGTGCCAAAGCTGTTAAAGCATAGCTAGTAAGAGGCGTCTTCATTTAAGTATAAGAGGAAGTCTAGTGCATTTTAATGACCCTTGCAAACAATTGGGTTAGAGGCTGCCTTCAAAGGCCTGAAAGGAGCCTTTCTTGGTGCATTTTAATGGTCCAGTTTGAGCTCAGAGGGGACATTTCAGAGGCCAGCACAGACTGCCTAGCAACCTGTTGTTCCAAATTGCTGCATTTGCCCCACCTTGCCCCTCTTCTGCAGATCTTTTGCCCCATTTTAGTTAATATAAAACTTTTTTCACCCACTAAAGTATTATCTCCGGCAGCCCTGCCATGGTATCGTGCTTTTGTAGGATCGCACCTATTCTCTGTGAGTTATTCACAGCTGTGCCAATGACAGCTACTTTAGACTTGCCCAACTGATTAATGATTTGTAAACACGGCACCAGTATCCGATAGCTTTAGGTTTTTGGAACGTGTTCTGGAATGTTGCAGATTGTAGCGATATATCTCAAAAATTACCCTTGAAGGCATCATGTAAGTGAATTAATTGCATATTTTTTAACGAATAAAAAGAAAATAGGTTTTAAATCCTGAGATAAATGACAAAACAAAAGTGGCACTTACTCCTGGGTTTTATACTTGTCCACTTGTGAAATATATTTGCAACTGAAAATTAAAAAAATGGAAAAAGAGAACAAATATGTGTATTGGGAGCTTTTTAGACAAACCTGTCTAGATATTATTGCTTGAATGTCTGGTACTTCACTTACCAAACTGCACATAGGTGTCCTTGTGTGAGTGGATGGTGTGTGAATGGGCCCTGCGATGAGTTGGTGCCCCATCCTGGGTTGTTCCAAGCCTTGTACCCGTAGCCTTCGGGATAGGCTCCGGACCACCCCCCCCACGACCCTGCATAGGACAAGTAGTTACAGAAAATGGATGGATGGATGCCCTGAATTTCAGGTTTGAGTAATTTGTTCTTACGACAAGAGCTTCAAGCTGAAGTCACCATTCATACATATGAATTCGTCATCGTAAATGAAGATAATCATTCACCAGTGTTTAGGTATTTCAGTTCTAAAGCTCGAAAACAAGTCAAATCAATATTAAGACGTTACTCCTTCCTTAAAGTTTGGACAGGTACTTCATCCTATCAGGAGTGTTGTTCTAATGAAAATGTTTTTAAAGGTTTGTGAGGGTACCAAAGGGTAATGCACTTATATTCGGGTCAGTAGCAGATGTCAGCGTGACAGGACTTCTCATAAGGGTATCAGGAGTCATCCCATAACCATCCATTTAGTGTCCGGTCTACAGCATTTTTGCTCTTGCTGCTTGGCATGGCGACTTCCAGCTTCTCAGCTGCAGACTGAAGCATTTGACATTCCTGTATGTATTTCAAAGGCCTGCCCATACGAAGCAATCCGCTTCATTCTTTCAATCCTTTTTCCTTCTGTTGTCTGAAGCATCAGGAGCTTGAGTTAAATGCATTAATTACCTTTCAGCCCTGAAGAAATACGAATCTTGTCTTTATCTCCTTTAATTTTAGTGGCTCACGGGGGGACTTTTGAAATGCACATACCCCCCCTAATGACATAAT